CACACACACACACACACACACACACACACACACACACAATTTCCAACCTTCCTCATCCCAGGTCAAAGTCTTTAAAATTTCTGCTCCCCTCCTACCCTGAAACACACACATACACACACACACACACTCATGCAGCACACACAGACACACACACACCACATGCATACACACACACACACAAAACACATAAATGCACACAGACACACACACACCACATACATACACCCACACACACGCACACAGACACCACATACACACACACACACACACACACACACATACAGACACACACAATTTCCAACCTTTCTCATCCCGGGTCAAAGTCTTTAAAATTTCTACCTCCCGAAACACACACACAGACACACACACACAACACATACACACATACACACACACCACACAAACACACACACACACACACAACACATACACACACACACACCACACAAACACACACACACACACAGACACACACACACACACACACACACACACAGACACACCTGAAGATATGGGATTCAAGAATGGATTTATGGATTCTAATTTTGTTCCATGTTCCAGGTTTAGTTTTTGACATCTTAGTTGATTAAGGATTTGTGTAGGATTTGTACAGTATAATAGTGTGTTATTTTCTCCATATCACCCTCCTCACACTGCACCATGTTTGTATTACACAAAAATGTGTAACAACATTAAAAAGACAAATGTTAATGTTGTGCCTGAGCATTCTTAATAAGAAAGATAAATTAATGGTACAAATAGCTGTACATGGATATGATATGATTACAATTACAGACCCATGGTTACAGAGTGACCAAGGGTGGGATTTGAATATTTAAGGATATTCAATATGTAGGAAGGACTTGCAGAAAGGAAAGGAGTTGAAGTGGTATTTTTGGTAAAAGGATTGTAATCAGTGCAGAAAGGACATTGACTCGGGATCTGTAGATGGAGAATCAGTCTGGGTGATGCTAAGGAACAACAGGAAGTGGAAAACATTACTGGGAGTTCTCTCTCGGCCTCAAACAGGATATGACATTAAATGGGAAACTAGAGAAGCAGGTAACAAGGCTGATATAGTCATCAATGGTGATTTTAAACTATGTACAGTCTGAACAAAACACATCAGTAAGAATATTTCGAGGATTCATTTTGGTGAGTGTGCAAGGTTTTGTTTTTAAGGACCAGTGCATTGAGGAACCAACTCAGGAACAGGCTATCCTAGATTTGATTTCGTGCAATGAGAGGGGGTTAATTAATATTCTTGTTGTGCAGAGTCATTTAGGGAAGAGTGACCATAATGTGATAAAATTCATCATTGTGATGGAATGTAAAGTAATTCAATCTGAAACTAGAGTCCTCAGTTTAATCAAAGGAAACTGCAAAGTTATGTGGTGTGAGTTGGCTGAGAATTGGCTGGCAGACAGGAAACAGAGAACATTAATACACAAATCCTTTCTTGCCCACAGGTAAGGTGCCAAATAACTGGATGACGGCTAACATTGTCCCATTATTTAAAAAGGGAGGCAGGGGTAGACCAGGAAATTACAGGTCAGCCAGTCTAATCTTGGTGGTGGGGAAGTTATCAGAAAGAATTCTATGGAACAGAATATACCTGCCCTTGGAGAGCTATGGATTAATGAGGGATGGTCAGTGTGGGTTTGTTAAGGGAGGCTTGTGTTTGAAAAATTTGATGAAATCTTTTGAAGAGGGAACCAGGAGGGTTAATGAGGATAATTTGATGCAATCTACATGGAGCCAAACAAGGCTTTTGATAAGGTTCCTCATGGCAGACAGGTCAAGAAAAGAAGATGCGATCCAAGACAAAGGGGAATGTTGGATCCAAAATTGGCCGAGGGGCAGGAAGCAGAGGGTGATAGTAGAGGGATCTTTCAGTGACTGGAAGTCTGCTTCCAGTGGTATCTTGCAGGGCTTGTGTCATTTATCATGTACGTCATTCAGACTTAAGTATAGGGGCAAGGATTGCAAAGAAGTTTGTGGATGACACAAAAATTGGTAGGGAGGTAACTAGTGAGGAGGATAACCATAAATAGCAGGAGGATAGCAATAGACTAATCAGCTGGGCAGAGCATTGGCAATTGCAATTCAACCTGGAAAAGTGTGAGGTAATGGGCTTGGGGAGGGGTAACAAGGTGAGGGACAACACTGTGTTTGGTAGGATTTCTGGAAAATACTGATGACCAGAAGGATGTTGGTGTACGTATCCACAACTTCCTGAAAGCAGATAAGTTGATTAAGAAAGCTTATGGGATGCTTGACTTTATTAGCCAAGACACAGAACATAAGATTAAGCACGTTATGTCGGAACTTTATAACACACAGCTGGAATAGTGAATGCAGTTCTGGTCACCACATACCAGAAGGATGTAATTGCCCTAGAGGAGTTGCAAAGGGGTTTTAATGGGATGCTGCCTGGGCTGGAGAGTCTGAGCTACAAGGAAAAATTGGATAGACTGGAGTTGTTTTCCTCGGAGCAGCGAAGGCTGAGAGAGAACCTGATATAGTTTATAAGATTATGAGGGGCATAGATGGAGTGGAAAAAGAAGACATTTCTTCCAGTAGTTAGGACGACAATAAGACGACAATAATAAGGGGGCATAGATTTAAGGTAAGTGATAAAAGGCTAAGAGGAGAGTCAAAGAAAAGTTTTTTTTTATCCAGTAGGAGGCTAGAGTCTGGAACTTACTGTCTCAAAAAGTGATTTGGGTCAGAAATTCTCATAACATTTAAGCATTATTTCCATATTCTCTTGTACAATACATGCTCCTGACTGGGAAGATATACTTTTTTATTACTGCTGAGAAGCTATTTAAATGGTGCCATTTGCAGTATTTAATGGACATCCAGCTGGAAGTGAAGAGAAGGGAGAAGAAGATTTGTCAATGCGCCACAATGTCAGAGGAGAAGACAATGGACACATGTCTTTCTCCATTTACACCCACTCCCGTGTTATCCTTGGTTTTCTTTAAAGCTGGCTCTTGTGTATCTGAAGAAATTATCTGGCTGTGGGAGGGGTTAGGAAATTTCCTGCGCATCTGCTGCGTTGATGGACCAACCAGCCAGACCCCAGCTGTTATTTCCACCTCTTTGTGTTGCTGAGGGGGTTCGCAACATGTGGACATGGTTAAGAGGTGATGTGATTGTGAACAGACACCAGAAAGAAAACCTTTTCTGTTTTCACGCTGAGGGTGGGAGGCTGCAGATCCAGAGTGCGTGCCCACATTTACAAATGGGTTTGGCAGGGCAAGGAAAGAGTAAGGGGGTTGGGCGGTGCAGAGTGGGCCTTGATGGAGAGTAAGCATCAGCCTGGATACAACTGGAGGGAGCATTACATTTCTGTCTTTACATGTCGTACATATCCAATCGAGTCACTGTCCCTGAGGTGAGTGTGGTGCAGTGAGAATCTGCTTTCGCTTCTGTACATGATCCCAAGACTGTACAGTCATACCGCAAAGAAAACCCCTATCTTGTAGCAGAGCCTTAAATTGGAAAATATTGGCAGCACACTGAATGAGATTTGCCACTCCTGTGCATTCTCTGTCTGCATTCCCCTCGCCAGTTCTATTTGTGGTGCCTTGGGTATTGAGGGCAAAGTTGACATTTATTGCCCATCCAGAATTGCCCTGAGTGGTAGGTCGAGCCACTTTAGAGGGCAGATAGGAACCAACCATATTGGAGGTATTAATATTTGCCATCCTGCCTTCACCATCTGCATTTGCGGTATGTTTGGGGAGGGAGGGGGGATATTCGGTTCCCAAAAACAGTATCACAGGCGCTCAGAGCACAGAGAACCGTGTAACTCACACCCCTTGTCCTCCCGCAGATACATGAAATACCTCTACCCGTACGAATGTGAAAAGCAATCACTCAGTTCGCCAACAGAGCTCCAGGCAGCAATTGACAGCAACAGGCGCGAAGGCAGAAGACCCAGCTACAGCTCGGCTCTCTTTGGCTATTCTCAGTGTTCGGCCACCCCCCTTCTGTCACCTGCCAAGGTTCACCTGTCGTCCCTGAATGTTCCCACCTCCAATGGAATCCACCTCTCTCCAGGGCAGCTCATCAAAAAAGGTAAGTGACATTTCATGATGAGCGATGTTGAGGTTGTAAGGGCATTGGTGAGGCCGCTTCTGGAGTACTGTTATAGGAAAGATATTATTAAATTTAAGAGGGTTCGGAAGAAATTTACCAGGGTATGGAAGGTTTGAGTTATAAGGAAAGGCTGGGGCTATTTTTACTGGAGCGTAGGAGGTTTACAAAATCACAAGGAGTATAGATAGGGTTAATGGTTAATATTTTTTTCCCTAGGCTGGGGGATTTCGAGACTAGGGGGCATATTTCTAAGGTGAGAAGAGAGAGATTTAAATAAGAGATGAGAGGAAAATTCTATACCCAGAGGGTCATTTGCATGTCGAACGAACTTACAGAGAAAGTGATGGATGCAGGTCCAGTTGCAACATTTAAAAGACACTTGGATAATTAAATGAAGAGGAAATGTTTGGAGGGATATGGGCCAGGAGCAGGCAGGTGGGATTAGTTTAGTTTGGGATTATGCTCAGCATGGACTGGTTGGACTGAAGGGTCTGTTTCTGTGCTGTATGACTCTATTTGCTACATTTGCACCAGTTGGACACCACATTTGGGAGACTCTCCCATCTCCTTTACCTCCTCCAGCTCTACAACCCAAGCCTGGCTAATTCTGGCATCTGACAAATCTACGTAGTTCACCAATACACCGTCATGTCTCCAGCTACTTTGTCCCTTCTCCCTAAAATCCCCTCCCTAAATCTCTGTGTTCTTTACCTCACCCTCCTCCTTTAAGCCTCTTAAAACCATCGAAATTTTGGTTCATCTACCTCGATACTTCTTTACATGGCTTCGTGTCAAAAGCTTGTCCGATTTCAGCTCCAATGATCCATGCTAGAAACACAGAAAATTCAGAGAAATGCAATGATGTTAACCGTGCTACAGACAGTCCCTGATTTGTAAATATCAGACTTACAAACACTCACACTTCGAAACAAAATCCCACATTCATATTAGTTTCAAGGATCCCACATGCTTTTACTTATGAACAGCTATTTTAGACAATATTCTGTTCCAGCCTGTATACAAATTGACTTGCAAATGTACTCAGTATTAGAACTTGTTTGTAACCTGGGAACTGCCTGTACCAACATGTAAGGGGTGGTTATCAGGTGGACGATAGTTAATCTTTTAAGAAATAGTTTTGTCTTTCATGTTTACACTTCCCCAAGAATTGGATCATTTGGGGCCTCAAAGAATGTTTTAGGCCCCTTTCGAGTTGAGTTGACAATTTGAGGTCATGTCGAGTGAACTTGAGAGAGATCACATTACCCTTCAGTTGTTCCTCCAGATTCAGATCCTTCACTCTCAGGCAGTGTGGATCTTTGACTGCGTCTCTAGTGACTTGCAGAGACAGGATTGGACCTTTAGCAACTCTGTTATCCTCCAATCCCCTCTCATGAGGAGAGAGAATCTCCTCCACCATAGCTCCAACATGGCATTAATTGTTATAAGGGAGCGATAGGGCCTGCATTTATATAACTCCTATCACGATTTCAGATTGTACTTTGCACCCAATGAAGCATCCTTTAAGGTGTAGCCACTGAAGTAAGCTGAGGAAAATAGCAATTTAATTTTATAATCTTATAAAAACCTGTCTATCTTCTCCCCCACCTATCCGTTCCTCCCATCCCCCTGGCCAATTCCCACCACGGCCTACCTGCACTCACCTATCATCATCCCACCTACCTTCCCCAGCCTCATCCCTCCTCTCTCTATTTATTTCGGAGCTCCCCCCCACCATTCCTGAAGAAAGGTCCCGAAATGTCAACTTTCCTGCTCCTCTGATGCTGCCTGGCCTGCTGTGTTCCTCCAGCTCCACACTGTATTATCTCTGACTCCAGCATCTGCAGTTCCTACTGTCTCCAATTTAATTACAGCTAGCACCAACAACTGTTTTTTTGATCTCGATTGTGGAAATATCTTCGTTTGAAATATGGGCCTGAAATTATTTATGTCCGTTTGAGGACTCCGTTTAACATCTCATGGTGCTTCTGATGGCTAGGCATTCCTTCATTTCAGCATTGAGACGTCACCCACAATTTTGCACTCAGCTCTCTGCAGGGGAACCTGACTCTGTAACCTCTTAACTCAAAGGCGAGTGTCAAGCTGGTTTGGATGAACAGCTTTTGAGTTGATGCTACAAAACGTGTAGTTCCCAGGCCTGCAGGCTGTTGGAATAAGATCAGTACCAAAACTCTCCTCTCCTCTCCTGTCCTGGCCTGTCCTGTCCAGATGCAGCATTTTAACCACTCACAATCAGTCAGTTCCCGTCATTATTGTCTGCTGTTCCATTTGTGTGTGCTATTCCAGTGATGGTTCGTGGAATCTGCCGTTGTCAGCAGTCTGTAGGACCTTTATCTCCATCGGAATAAAGTGCATTTTTTCACAAAAGAGCATGAAAGAATGTAACTTGTTCTGTGGAAATGTTTGGAATGTGCCCATTGATCCTTTGAGGTGAAGGTGCTGGTATATTGTCCACCAGTAGCCCTGGAGGTTTGTGCTGTGTGTACAGTGTCACGGGATTGGCTACATTTTCACGGCCAATAAGATCAAGGTGAATAAGAGCAACAGAGGGCCATGGTTAGTACCGAACCAAACAGACCACTGACTGAACCAATCAGAGCAGAGGCTTCTGTATGATACTGAGCCAATCAGACCGAAGCGACCTGCCTAGTATTAAACCAATCAGACAGGAGAATTCCAGCTGGTGCTGAGCCAATCAGACCAGAAGATTCCAGGGGTGTAAAGTTAACTAATCAGTTTCTGGGTGATCTTTACTGACACCAGACTAATGGGTCCTAAATAATAATGAGCCAATCAGACCAAAGGATCCCAAGTGATAATGAGCAAATCAATCTGGAGGATTCCACATGATAATGAGCCAATCAGATTAGAGAATTCTGTGTGATAATAAGTCAATTTGACTGGAGGATTCCAGTTGATAATGAGCCAATCAGACTGGGAGATCCCGAATGAGAATGAGCCGATCAGACAGGAGGATCCTAACCGATAATGAACCATGAAGATTCCGTTTCATGTTGAGCTCATCAGGCTGGAGCATTATGGGTAATAATGAGCTAATCAGACTAGAGCATTATGGGTAATTGTGAGCTAATCAGACTGGAGGAATATGGGTAATTAT